GGTGTATCTTTAAATCAAATATTGATTTGTCAGAAAACATAATATGTATTAATCGTTTTATTCTCGCTACTTCACTTTAAGGAATACTTCACCATTTCCATGTAGAATAAAAGCGACCCTGTATAGATGACTTATTTATACGCATAAATTGGCTATTTAACTTAATCGGATATTTTTATTTACACCAATGCCTCAGTGGAAACGCTTATTACCTCAGATATGTATATTTATTGTTTAACTATATGAATGTGAAATAACTCGGCATTGAGGGACTCCAGGGGAAGCTATTTATTACCCTGCGATATGTGGAATACATCTTGCTCCATCATAATTTTCCTCAACTTACTGGTTATTTCGGTAGAAAATAAAATAATATTGCTGTTACATATATCATCAAGTATGACCACATGAAACATAACATATGTTTACTTTGTCATAACGCGTAAAGCGTTTAATACAAATAAAACAGTTTATTCCGTAAATGTATGCTGTCAATTTTATGAAAATATTAGACTAAAACATAATGGGCTGGAAATATTCTTTGAACTAGCCACAAGGCAGTAATTTTTCCTTTCATGCTGTCAACTGGTTAAATAAATTACGCTGTATAAATCCTTTCGGTGAAAAGAAAATCACTTGGTAAACTAAAATGAGGAATGATAACGCTGGGCGTAACTCTCCTAATATATTAACCAGCTTCAATTAAAAATGGACTTTCCCTATTATGTAACACTTTCAACAAATTTGTGACGTCACTTTTATTTATTTCAAGTATTTATGCATAACTGGAATAGAATATGTGCCTGTTGTAAGCTGAAAACTTTGCAGGATTCAAAAAGGCGTGAGCGCCATGCGTCTTGTTCAAATATATAGACGATTGTTGGTAAAATTAAGGTGTTAAAATAGGGAATGCTTTAATGTAATCTTGATCAATCGCCTTTTCTCAGCCACACATAAACATGTTTACGAAGTTTCTAACAATAATTAAAGCGAAGCTTAGTTTTGTTTGCTAAGATTAATTACAAGGGTCAATATTACAAAGCAACTAGTCCGTAAGGAAGTATAGGGCTTGAAGGTATTTTCTTAATTAGATGTCATCACTAGACGGCCCAACTAAGAACTGTTGGCCTTATTTTAAAATCAGATTTAATAAGTTGGAAAATACTGAAGGAAATATTACGCCGCCAGATTTATTTACTATGTGTATGAAGTTCAGCAGAATTAATCAGCATACCGCAAGTCACAATGCGAAAAAGCGGGCAGATATTTCAATGACTCAACAAATAATATAGAACTATAATCAACAAACAACTCAGCACTATTGGATGCCGAATTTTGTATAATCACTGTTTGCATGAAAAATATAACCAATTAGTAGATGTGGGCTATGCAATTTATTTCGTTGTTATATACAATTTCCGAACAGGCCCAATTTTAAATTTACGTTCTTCTCAATCGTTAGACCAATTGGAGATATTTTAAAACGATCTGGAAAATATGTATTTACTAATTACTTTATGTTGCTAAAATTAAAAACATCAAATTCTTTTCAAGTTTTAATCAATCCATCAAAACATGATTACGCTGAAAGTTTATATAAATTCGCTACGCCAGAAGAGTACTTCTGATGATGATTTTTCGTTGATTGCTGATGAAATTTTGCACTTCAAAAATAATGTACAAATAGCACAAACTTTTAATATCGTTTAATCTTTTTATTTAAAAAATTCTAGGTAAAATATCGCTTCGCGAAACGTTTAAACTCCTACCGGCAACTAGATCTCTGCACTTTAAAAGCTTTAAAGTATATAAAGTAGTATTATTTGCACGGATGCATATATTTAAAGTTACGAAACCTGTGTCGCCAGTGTTAGGAAAATAGCTGCTAGCGCAATCAGAGCACATCGGTGAGGACCCAAAGGAACATTCTGGTGTCATGGCTGCTCTGTTAAGAAGTTATTACGCCGAGATAAATTGTCTCCTAAAACTTGAGATCTTGCACATTTCTACGTTTAGTCGGTTTTAAACTTACCGAATTGGTTCAATCTTTATTCAAAGATCAGTTTCTCGTTCAGCAGGAGGTAAATTTAGTACGTATTTTTCTTCGATTAGACTGTCGTTTGGAAAAAGGCTTAAAAGTGAGAATTGCAGTATGTTACGCTTAAGCGATTTGTCATATTTGTCAGTTATGTATTATACAAAGTGAAAAACGGTCACAAGCAACAGAATAAGAATAAATAGAAAATTAAACAAAGTGAGGTTATGCAGGTTGAAAATTAACAGTTTTAGATAATGAAACACATTTTCCAATTTCTAAAAATAAATTCATCAATAATTATCAATACAACATCTATTTAATCATCATCTGAATGAATGGGAGAATTAAAACTCAATACAAACACTCATAGCCTCATTATTCAAACTCAAGTCCACTTACATTCCGCAAAGCAATAAATTCTAGTTTCGTTACAATCAGATATATTCTTGGTCACGTTTTGTTATACGAAGTCCATACGCAATACACATAGAAAGTTAAATACAGATAAAACAAACCGTCGAAACGGCTTAATTGAAGAGTTCCCAACGGAAATTCGTGTACGCGGAATGGACTATAGCATTGGTGCTCATGTAAGTGAGATTTTTTCTCATTAGTACAGAAATTTTACAATGGGCTGTTCAAATGATCCGCGGCTGCTTTACATTTCTTGGTGCCCCAGATATAATTTAACGAATATGCTAATTTCGCCCTCTTGAGCCCAAAATAGATCCGCCGAAGTTTGATCATATATCTGAAATTAATTAAAACGACCTAACTATGATTTCTCTAAAGTAATTTTTTCATTTTTAAATTATGTAATACGAGAACCAGAAACAGTAAAGGAATACCGAATTTACTCCAAAAATATATTGATATTCTAATCTCCACGGGTTTTATTCAAGAAACAAAAGACAAAAATCTGTAGACTTTAGTTTATCATCATAATTCGTTCACACTTATTTCTAGGAAAAGTTTACAGATTTACAAGGAAAGCCTGTCATAATTGCAATATACAATTAATACCTCAATTGCTTTAATTATTTCAAAACATATCGTTGGTTACCTGCTAATTGGGATAATACCTTGTAGCCCTTTGGCCGAGGACTAATTGCTTTGTAATCTTGACCCTAGTGATTAATCTTAACAAACATCATTTAACTTCCCGGTAACTAATGTTTCGTAATTAGTTTCCAACAGTGCAATATGAGACCTTTCGTACCATACAGAATCAAATATGAGCTAAAAAAGAACACCCGAATTACCATGTTCGTTCACTACTTTTGCAAATGAAAGGCGAAGTAGAGGTACTTGAATAATTCCCTTAGATTCAAATTTGTCTAGTTAAATGTATTAGTACTAGTACTGGTATTAGATTTACATTTTGAAAATTTACATTTCTAAAATATTAATAACTGGATTGTCCTATGCAGCTAACCGATGGAAGCAATTTAAAAGGTCGAAAGAAGCCATTGTAGTAAACTACAATAGAATTCGTACATCATGAAATTTTTTGCAAACATAAAGCAAGCATAAGCGTTTGAAATGTAGGTTTATTCAGTAACTCAAATTGTACTAAACACATATATTTTTCTTTTCAGGAAAAGGCATCATAATGAGCGAGATTAGCTAAAAGTTAATTTTTAATATGTTATTACGTAACTGAAACAATGGCTTCTTCTGAATACACACAATATAGTTGTTTTGATAATAATAAAATACAATCATCCCTTTGTTAATTGGGTTTTCTAAGGACCGCATCTGCCTATTTTTGTGCAAAGATTATATTTACTCGGTAAGACAAATATTTACTTGGTTTTAAGTCCGAAATTAGAAAAGGGTTTCCGTCCAATTTTCAGATTCAAAACATTTTTTTGTTCAAAAGGTTGCTTTATTATAATGGTGCAGGTCGAATTTCAAATTAGTTAACAAACTGCAAATTGCAGAAAAGTATATAAATGTTGCCAATTAAAGCTCATATTTGAACAGCGGCCCTAATTGAAATATATCTAATTAATTAAATAAATAAAACCTTGTCGGTCTTTGTCAATTAAGAAACTTTTTCCTTATTTTATCAGCATTCTGTTATAATAAATATGGCATTATGTTAGCTGCTTGATGACAAATAATAAATCTTTAACTTTAGGAAACTGAATTAAATTATATGGGGAATGCTGAAGGTACTTTAAAAAATGACGCTGATAAGAAAATGCAAAGGAATAAAAGAATAATTTAAACGTTTTCGCTTGAATCCTCTCCTTATGCACTTTAGTATATTTGAGCTGGAGTGAGTGCTCTAGCTACGATTACTTAGCGATTGCACAATCTTTGAAACAAAGTTAATTCAACATGATGACGTTTAAAGAAAACTGGTTTCGTTCCAAGGCAGCGACAACATTATTTAAAGACACAGGCGTATCTAGAACGGATTAAACGAATTGACTAAACAAATTGTCCATCAACTTGCCTAGATACCCAATAAACCCAACGTTCACTATATATTTGAAAATAGTGTTACCGTGAAGTGAAATACGCCCTTCTGATACAGCAACTTTTACATCAAACTTTTCGAACCTAAAATTAAAATTTCTCAACCGTCCTAAAATTATTATTTCGTTATATTTTCTACCCCTGCGTATCTGAGCCGACGTTGCTCGCATATTTTATAACCTTCGTCCCTATATTCATATAATTTATTATATGCAAATATTTGGCATTTCAATTTACATCTGACCCAATATGAAGCAACTATTCCAATGCCAATAGACTTGAAAGCTTGGGGATAATTTGTAAATGATGAAACATTTCTGTTTCACACTTGAATCAACGGTGCAGACTTTTATTTAATATTGATGAATTGTAATATTAAATAATATATGTTTGAGACAGTAAACGATTATTATTCATCGAAACCGAGGAACAGCGGAAATGGAAAACTGTTAACACGTTTTTCTTATCCTTATGATTATGATAATAAAAATTATTTAATAATAATAATAATAATGCTCTTTATTTCAAATATGAGTTTACATAAATAAAACAGAGTCACAAATTTAGCAATAGACAATTGCGACACGACGTTCATTACACCAAAATGATTTAGGTCATTGACAATAATTATAGGTTTAAGGTCTTGAGGGTATTCTTTCAAGTTGTAAGGCTATAGTTCTATTAGGTAATGTTTTACTTCCTTTTGTGTTATACAATTTTATGCATCTGTAAAATGTGTCAAATACTGTCAAAAATCTCAGCGATCTAAGCACCGACCTATAGCTCTGCAAATGACCCATCTTTTTAATCAATGGTATGGTTTCTTTTTGAACCGGGAATATATTTTTCATCCTTATTATCCTACTACTATTAGTTATTACTACTGCCCCACACATAATACCATATTCCAAGGCCACTCAAAATTGGCAAAGTATGCTACTCTCAAATAGTCTCCAGACATGTATTTACCGACAATACATGTCTATAGCGTATACAATAACTAGCGGAGTTTAATTTATTTATTTGTGTGTGCTCGTTTAGGCAGATTCCCAATAATTGGACATTTTCCGAAAATTAGACTATTATGTTAGTTAATTCGATATGTTCCGGTCTGTGTATTGCTGCTTGTTTTGTTCTGAAAAGTAATATTTACCAAATTTACAAACCAATTATTAACCGAGCTAACAAAGTCCTGTGCATTTCTTATGACATTTGCAATTTCTTTGCCACGAATAATTAGAGTCGTGGTATTCGCATAATTCATTATTTGTCTGTGCGGCGAGTTACTCAGTGAGGGAATCTCACTTATTAAAACTATGAACAAAACCGGCATAGAATGCTTTCCTATGCAATTCCTACACTAGTTCTTAAGGTTGTCGATAAATACTTCTTATCTTTTGTGACCTGCAATACTTTCCTTCGACCATCCAGGTATGATGCTATCCAGCTTTTTCGATTTCCCCTCAGCCCGTACTTTTCCAACTTTAAGAAAAAGTTAGTTTCGATCCAAACAATCATAAATCTAACAGCATTCCAATAATCAACTTTTTATCTTCTTTCTGGTTTTCTATAGATTGCATCAGGTCGAACAAAGCGGTGTGGTATCGTTACGCATATCGTTATTTTTGAGTTAATACTATCCCACATTAAAGCAGTTTAAACTTCGCGGAGGGAGTCGGTTCAAATTATCATAGGAAGTGTTTTATGCCAATGAAGTTAAGATAACTTCTAGTTCCGATTTGCCATTGGCAACCGGCTGCAAAGTGTTAAATAAGCTGTCGCGACATACAAATAGTTCATAATATCAGCATTCGCATGTCAGCTGCAGAAATAATGTATTACTCATTCTTCTGAGGATGCGATACAATTTATATTGAATTAGTTTCTATTAGTTTGACAGCAATTGTTAAACGAGTTAAAAAGATTAACTTATATGAATTAAATATATATTTCAATTATTGTCAGCCTGCTGCTACCCAAGCGGCGTTGTGTGTGCTCCGAAGCTTTAATTAGTATATGAAAACAATATTTTGAAACAAAAACAGGAAAACAACGGGAAAATCATGCCTCTATTTCAGCACAAAGATTATTGTTCTATTATCCCACATAGTATGCAATTTTCAGTTAAAATTGTTGTTGCAAAGCAAGGTAATAATTTGCATTCCACGTGTATTTTTGACACAAAATGAAATTATTTCAAATTTTCTCAATGGTTTTACCATAAACTGATGTTTCCGATTTAAATTCTGAATGTTCCATTCTGATTTCTATACTCAATTGCTCGAAAACTGTGTCACAAATTTAATTAAATTAAATCAACTTTAAATGAAACATTATTATTTCATTAGCTTTTAAAGCTAACACAATTTTTATATAGCCGGTGCTATGAAAATAGTAATAATAATAATAATAACAATAATAATAATGATAATAATAATAATGATAATAATAATAATAATAATAATAATAATGATAATAATAATAATAATAATAATAATGATAATAATAATAATAATATTTATTTCTCAGAAAAAGACATTATTTAATACACCCTGTATAACATTGAACAAGCAGACATAAAAACGAGTGTCACAGCAGTACGTGCTTATCACTCATTAATCTAGATTTTTGGTATATATGCTACCTAAGTATTTATATTTT